ACTATTAATGTAAAACTTATTAATTTAAATGTTTTTCCCTCTTTTAATCTTAAAACCTGATATGACTAAAATATTTTCTGCTTTGAAAAAGTCGCTATATACCAATTTTTATGTATGTGTCTGTCTGTTATAACAACCAAACATTTAGTATTGGCTACCCACAGAAGAGTGGAATGAAAAAAAATATATATAATGAAAACATATATGTACACACACTTATGCATATACATTTGGAGACATTTAAAATTGTAGGACTAAGAATAAGTTTTTGTTTCTTAACGATTTTTTACTACATTTTTCTAATATAAAAGTAGTGTTTCTTCAACAAAATTTTTGCAAAGAGTTTACAGCAATGAAAATATATTCTTAGCACTTAAGCAACATAGAATTATCTCCAAAATAATCTTGATTCATTGTTTGTATGCTTGTGAAACTCTTATGAGGTTTTGAGGTTTTTCTTTTTTTAATGCTTTGCTGGAATATTTTAAAAAGCAATGACTTAATCTTTGAAGTCAGGTATCTGTCCAAATATAAGACTAAAATGAATGGAGAAGAAATCCAATTATTGAACAAGTTAATTTTTATTCACTATATTTTTCAGAATATGAACTTTAAATTTAAAATTTTTGTTTAAGGCAGATTTAAAATTAAGCTGTGATGTTTTGGGAATCTATATAATTAGCAGTTGGTATGATTTTGTTATAATGTAAAGTTCTTCAAGTAGTAATTGATAACTTGACAACTTTGGTCAGAATTTAGAATGAATTTGTGTTGTACAGTCATACTAAATTGAGAATCATGTGTTGTAGTCTGTTGAGAAATCTGGACTTTTCTGATGTATCCTAATTTACTCTGCATTGAAATTCTCAAATTAGTATGTAAACTAATTTTTATTTTTGTTAAAGGCTAATTTTCATAAACCTTTCTTTATGCCAGGCATCTTTTGAATGTACTTGCTGATTCACTTATAAATAGCTCCTTTCTATCTGCTTTGTCTTTTTTTAGGGGATTTTAATAGCTGAAACAACAAAATGTTTAGTTAAATTTTATGGTTTAATTAAAAAGCATAAATTCGATATTAATGGCAGCCTTATCTAGTTTTAAAACTAGCATTAGTCTTATGATGATAATGGTGGTGGTGGTGGTGGTGGTGGGTAGTGATAGTGGTGGTAGTGGTGGTAGTAATGATGGTAGATATTTAGTTAATAGTTGAGTGCTTATTATATGGCAGCTACTGTTCCAGGCACTTTACTTGAATACAACAACCCTGTGAGATAGATATTGTCATCATCCCCATTTCACAGATAAGAAAATGGAGCCATAAAGAAAATGACTTGCCCAGTGTTTTGAAGCTAGTAGGTGGCAGAGTTGAGGTTTAGACTTAGACAGTCTTATTCCAGAATCCATCCTCTTAATCACAGAATTCTCTTATAGGTAGGGTTTAAACAGTGGAAATGTAATGTAAAAATGTTCATAGCTTTATTTCACACTGCTGATTTTAATATGGTTCAAGTATCTTAATTTTTTAAGTATTAGAAAATTGAACTTGTTAACACTAGTGATTGCATATTATCTATTCTCAAAGTGTTTAATTATCCACTTTAAAACAAATCATGAGATAAATAGTAGCATGCGGATTTTTTTCCAACATTACTCAAACTAAAAAATCAATATGTTAATGTTTACTAGTTTGAGTTACAAGTTCATTACCTTTAGCTTCTTGCCAGAATTTCTCTAAATTTATAGCCTAAGTATTCTCACAAATGAAGGGAAAGTTATGTAAATATAATACTTTCTCTTATGCTATTTAAACTTTTATTGGTTTTTAAAAGGGTAAGAATAGGTAAATTGTGAAATAAGTTATTTTACCTTTTAATATTTATACCTGCTCTGATTTATTTGTATTTGTATGGGTTTATTTTAAGCTGTGCTTGAGGAACTTGTTAATAGTGGACGCTTAAGAGGCACTGTGGTTGGTGGGAGACAAGATAAAGCAGTGTTTGTCCCTGACATCTACTCCAGGACACAGAGTACTTGGGTGGATTCCTTTTTCAGGCAGAATGGCTATCTAGGTAACTATTTTTTTTTTCTTTGAAAATAAAATTTCTTTCTAATACTAAACACGTTTTTAGGAAGTATTTTTCTAACCTTGGGGTCTATATGTACTTTCCTGTTGTTGACCAGAGGCTATAATGGTTCCCTTTGAGTGTAAAAGTAGTCACACTGCAGGTTTCTGTGGGTCTTGGAGCTGAGTTTAATTCCTTAGTTACTGAGCAATTATAATGTAGAAAGGCCACAAGCTGGTACTGATAACCAACCTCCCAGTTACATTAAGATGATACTACTAAACTTGATTTTTTGATTGATTTTTTAATTCATAAAAGTAATTTTACTTATTATATCTTATATTTTATAAAGTTGCCCAGTTTTTCGGTTGCATCATCTTAGAAATATTTTACTGGATATCAACTTCCCAGTGTTCATTTTTATTTAGTTATACAGTACTTTGGAAACATTGAAGTTATTCTAAATTCTCTTTCTGAGGTTCTTTATGTCATTTAGTTAAAGTAGATTGACTAAATTCAGTCATTAAAACAATTAGCAAAAATGCATATATATAGCTCACTTATTTTAATCAATTTTATAACCCAAGTCAAACCACATAGCAAATTACTTTCTCAGTAATAAACCTGTAAGTCACTAGTATTTAAACAATTTAAACATGTGCTGGGATACTGGGCTTTGCTTATATTTTTTGACTTCCTGTGATGCACTTTTCAGTTTCTTCAGTCATCAGCTTGGATTAGGATTTTGTTATAGTTTTCTTAAGTATGATTATTTGGGGTGGGATCAGAGGAGTAAGTAGATAATCCCCAGTAACTTTAATGGCTGTATATTTGTCTTTATTTTTTGCTTTTGTTTTGTATTCTAAACCTTTTTCTTGTTTAAATTAGACTAGAGAAATACTTTGTCCTAAGTTGTCTGATGAAACATTTTGAAAAATAAATTAATTAACTATAATAAGCAAAATTCCAGTTTTTGTTTCTTCACGTAAACCATTACCTTCTCCTTTACTTTTATTTCTGATTTTATTGCTCTGTAGTCTTCATGTTTCCCTTTGACCCTTCAATTGAAGAGGGAGTGAGATAGTTAGTATCGAGGAAGTACTCGAGCTAATGTTTCTACAAATATCTTTTGTAATAAAAATTTGAGAAGGTAATATAACTAGGGAATAGGCTGTGATACATTTCTGTTCCTAAAATATATTAGAATACAGTGCATTCACCATCAAAGAATAGGTTTTGATAGAACTTAACTTTTTCTAAGATTTCTAAAAGGTATGAGTGATTGACAGTTCTAATCCATCTCTGTGGTGTATTTTTAGAATTTGATGCTTTGTCCAGACTTGGAATCCCAGATGCTGTAAGCTACATAAGGAAAAGATATAAGGCTACACAACTCTTGTTTTTGAAAGCAGCTTGTGTTGGTCAAGGACTTGTGGATCAGGTGGAAGCATCAGTAGAGGAAGCCGTCAGCTCTGGAACATGGGTTGATATTGCAGTATGTTTTTATCTTTCTGAATTTTTCTTTAAACCAATGACAACTTGATATTTCACTAGTATATGGCCATTTAAAAAATTAGGATAAATAAAGCTATCTTGGCTTTAGTTGCAAATTCTAGCAGTCATTGTTACAATAAAAATAAACAATTATTTTATATTTAAAGTCTTTCTACCTTTTGAAGTAGAGGGTGACCTTCTTCACATGGAGTCAATATCCAGAATTCTGTAATTCTCAAAACAAACAAGCAAACAGTATAACACTGATATCAAAGCTGATACAGAAATCGATGAGACATCTTACCATTTTATCCAGGCACTAACAACTGTACTGGCATTAAGCATCATGTAGCATTTGTTTATCCCTTGTCCATTAATCTCTGCTAATGTATTATCACAAGCTGCTTTAGCACTGATAATATTTTACTTCAGTGTTCAGTTTTGACCTGCCTTTCATTTTGCCAAAAAGATAAGTGTACCTGAAGATAAATAAACAAGAGGCCAATCCGTTATTTTCTAGACAGGGCTCAGACCTTTTTCATAAAACAGAAAATTCCCGGATTTGGATAAAGAGGTTTCCAAAGATTCCAGATTTCAATGTTTTTTTATTCATTCAACAAATTTTATTAAGTACCTTCTGTGTGCCAGGCACCATTCTACTTCATGGGGATGTGGTAGCCATACAAGTCTTCTGCCCCTAGAAGGGGCACTTTCACTGGGGAGAGATAGTTAATGAAATTGATAATTTCAGATAGTAGAAAGAGCTAAGAAGAAATATATTTTGTAGGTAAAGTTATCAGGACTTGCTGGTGGATGGTTTGTGGGTTTCTGAGAAAGAGGAACAGAGTATGACTTGTATGTTTTGGTGTTGTTTTGGACAATTTGAGATACCTAGTAGGCGTACAGGTGGGGAAGGTAGGCAATAGGATAATTCCAGAGTTCAGAGTGGTGAGGAAATGAGAAATATAATTTGGGAGGTTATTGGCATAAATATGGTTCTAAAAGCTGTGGGTCTTAATGAGATCATGTAGGGAGAGCAATGGTTTATCTGTATTATATTGCATTTATACTTCATTTCCCTTCTGTTTGTAATCTAGCCTCTGCTACCCAGTTCATTATCAGTTGAAGATGCTGCCATGTTGCTTCAACAGGTGATGAGAGCATTCAGCAAACAGGCTTCAGCAATAGTCTTTAGTGATACTGTTGCAGTCAGTGAAAAATTTATAAATGACTGTACAGAACTGTTTAGTGACCTGATGCACCAGAAAGCTGAAAAGGTATGCCACGTTTCTTTTCATCTGCTAATCTTAACAGAATTTCACATTAGAATCATCTGATGTCATTTGAAAAATGGTGTAAGCAGTCCACCCAGAAATGAATAGTTTGTATCATATATCACTTCCTTTACTGCATTATTCCTTTCTATTTTCTCTCCCAGATATGTTTTTCCCCTTCTTCATTCCCATCAGAGCATGTAAGTTAAAACTTGGGGGGCTGATTTTGTAAATTGAAATTACATAGATTAAACAATTCACAGTCATATCACCTTAGGGTATTGGTCCAACTTTAAAACATTAAAATGCACAAAAACAATGTCTGTGGGTATATATAAATATACAGTGAATTTTCAGTCAGTACACAATATACAAAAGTACTCCAAAAAATTGGTGGAAAAATGGAAATAAAAGATAATACGAATCTTTCCATGAACTTTTTGATGACCCCTCATATTTGCTAAATCTAGCAGAGCCTCACTAATTTTACCAATTTAGGGTGCACAAACAGGATAACTTATGGAGGAAAGAAATTTTGTTACTATCAAAATTAATTTTGAGCAACTCAGAGCAACTGCCGTCCAAATATTTTGAAATAGATGTTATACCAGGTCTGCTTTAATAACTATTCAATTCATGTTTCTAGTTAGCAGCACCATCTCCTTATAAAGTCTGCTCTGAAGTAGATAAAACAAGCCTATTTATCCTTGTTAAACGGTTAATAAATTCATGAAGGCTTATTAAATATGTAAATAATTTGTATTTAGCTATATTCCTTTTAAGCTTTTTCAACAGTTTAAAAATGAGATAATTTTCTGCATTTGGCTTGATAAACAGCAGAGAAGAGCAAAAAGTATACAGATTTGATATCAGTAAACCTGAGTTTAAACATGTTTATTCTCTTTATGACTTTGGACAAGTAAGCTTCCAGTTTCCTTATCATCAAACAAAGGATGGTGGTATCTACTGTGGAAAGGATAAATATAAATAAATAAGGGATATATATAAAATGTCTGGTACCTGTTAACTGCCAATTATTAAACGACTACCTTATTATTTTTATTTGCAATCTTTTACTATTGTAAAATCTTAATATGATCTTTTCTTCTTTCCTTGGTCTCCTCCCTTTAACCACAAAAATAAGTTCAGGAAAAGGTGGTTCTATTACTTGAACTATCAACATTCTAACCAGTTTTCTTTAGAAAAGCAAAAAGGAAATAATAGCATTTTTACCATGAAAAAAATGTTCTTTTATAGGATTCTTTCCCATGAGAAATAATCAGTCTCTGAACTTGGAAATAATTCATTGCTGTTAACATAAATGTTTAAAAAGCAGATATCATCAAGAATAAGTCCAGAGGAAAAAAAGTTTATATGACTTAGTATGCAGCTCATATATGGTCATTTGGGTAGGGTCAGGGATGGAGGTTTTATTACCTTTCTAGTAATCTCAAGTATTTTTGAACTTGGGAGCCTCAAAAAGGAGGGCGTGGGGCACCTATTAAGCAGGGGTAAAACCAGCCTTTAACAGCAGAAAAGGATTGCATCTGGTGCTGTGTGATCAGTTGTTCAGTGACCAGATAGAATTTCTAATTAGCTGATAATAGGTGCAAAAAGCCAAGAACAGCAAAGGAAGGGACTAATTTTTGGCAAGGAGAAACGACCTTAGAGCTCTATAGTCTTCTTAGCAATGAAACCAAACAAGAATAACTAGGATATACATGAGTATATAAACAACTTTTATTTTATGCTTTTTGAAAGGCTATATATTTTTCCTACCAAAAAACCCCACATATTTTATTTTAGGAAATGAAAAATAATCCTGTGCAGTTAATCACTGAAGAAGATCTGAAACAAGTCTCCTCCATTCTAGAAAGCGTTAACACAAGTAAAAAGGATAAAAAAGATGAGCGAAGGAGGAAAGCAACAGGTAATAAATTGTTATGAAAAAGGAATATTCAAAGATGAGTTTTTTGTTACAGTGAACTTTACGGTTATTTCGTCCTTTGAAGGGCCTTTTATCTGACTGATTCATCTTTAACTTTAACTGCTAAGATCACCAAATTTTTTTCTAATTAATTAAATTTTAATGATGAAAATGAAAATATTCTGTGTTTTCTTTTGTGAAAACTAATTTCATGATCATGCCCATCTCCTGTTTTCCCCCTCACCCTCTGTGTTTCACCCCAGTAACCCTTTTTTTAGATTCCCAAACTTGCCAAGTTCATGTTCACCTCAAGCCCTTTGCATTAGCTTTGGACTTCCACGGGAATGCCCCCTCCCCAACTTCAAGTAACTCATTTCTTCTTTTCATTCAGTGCTCAACTTTAAATGTCACTTGCTCAGAGACGCCTCTCTAACCCCCGGGAGTAGTAGTCACAATCACTCTCTATCTCATTATCTTGCCAGTTTTTTTTGTATCACTTTATCACTGTGATGTGTTCTGTTGTTTGGGAAATTTGCCTATCTCATTTATTGTTTTACTGCTGGCACCTAGAGCACCACTTAGCATAATTTAGGTGCTCTATAAATATATGTTAAATGAATGAATTTCCCGATAAGTTCTTTTTTTAATTTCTTTTTTTAATTTAAAGTTGCTGGAAATTATTCCAGGTAGCACTGGTATGCTAGTAACTTACTTTAGATAAGTAAAGTAACATGTGTATCCCATACTTTTTATAGTACAAACAATGTTATTAGTGCTTTAACAGGATTAATGGAATTCAGTATTCATTCAACATTTTTCATTAATAAATACAGCCACATTGAACATATATTATAAAAACTTAATTTTTGCTATGGGAGTTCACTCCTGTTTCTTTGAGGTAATTTGTTTCCTCTTCCAAAATCTTTTTCTGTAAAACATTTGAGTGGTATTTTGAAATTTCTATTTTTCTAGGAAAAGTATAGTAAATTACTCTAATCATAGTAATTCACCGCTATGCATATTTTATATTATTTGAATATATTACTATAAATTTGCCTTAATCAATTGGTCATTTATGTTAGTATAACTAATCTATTTTATTTCTTTATACAAGTTAAGGGTCATCTGGTGTTTTGTTCTCAGTGATAGTGCTATAGTATTGTAATAGTTTAATTACAGTGCATGGAATGTCAAGCACCAATGTCCTCCCCATGAGAAACTTATTACCAAATGTAAAAAGCACATTCACTTTAGACATGTGTTTTTGCAAATAGTATTTTTCTATCATAATAGCAAGGGAAAGATAAATTAATAGAAGTTTTAATTTTAGATACGATGAACTCTAAGGGAATTCTACTCAGAATTTAAATATCTTTAGTTTTTATAAATTGCTTTATTTTATTGAAAAAATCTTTTATGAAGAAATATAGTTTCAATATTTTTCAGTGTTTAAAACCCATTATAAGTGTTCTACTTTGTAGAATATATATTTTAAATGTAAATATCTAATGGCAGGGAAATCACCTTAATAACATTTTTTACTTTTATTTACAGTATTTGAGTTCGTTTCATAATATGTACTTCTTTTAATCTTTATTTAGCCAATAGGTGATTTATAACATTATTTTTCTGCTTAACCACTTTAATATTCTTGATCAACATTTATTGAGTACTTGTTATGTTTTAAGCATTGCTGTAGCCCCAAGAACACAAACATTAATGAGACTTACTTCTTGCTCTCATTTAACTGCTAATGTCCAGCTAAATTTATTGAAATTTGTGATCTGGATGAGTGGTAGTGGTCAGGGTGTCTCCTCTGAACATGGATAATAATCTTTCAACCAAGAATGCAAAACCGAGTATAATTAAATTTATGAAGTATTATAATAGGGGGTTATCAGTGAGGCTGTGGTAACAGAGATGAGCAAATGAGGACACATTTATTTTGGGGAAGGTAGAAGAGGAGGTAAAGGGATGGGTTTGGCTAAGAAAACATCGGGCAGACCTACAGAAAAGAGGTGAAATTGGCAGGCTATCTAAGTAGGTTGCTTAAATTCAAGAGATTCATGTTTATTATTTATTAATTTTTATTGGTTGAATTTACTAAACTTATTTTAGTAAGGAAATTCCAAGATTAGAAAGAGTCTAAAAGTTGCTTTATTTTGCCTTTTATCTTTCTTCTTCTGTAAAGTTAAATATAATATGGTATCGTTTTCTAAAAATGGTGATTTACTTAGATAAAACTAACAGATGTCATTTTCCAACAGAGGGCAGTGGAAGTGTGAGAGGAGGAGGTGGGGGCAACGCCAGAGAATACAAAATTAAGAAAATCAAGAAGAAAGGAAGAAAAGATGATGATAGTGATGATGAATCTCAGTCATCTCACACTGGTGTGTAGATTTATTTTATCTTTCCTTTGTGTGTGTGTTTTTTAAGATATTTTCTTAAGATGTATTTTAGGTATATATGCTTATACAGGAAGTTCTTGCACAATTTTGCATAGTTTCAGTGGCCACAAATTTCAGTTTATCACAGTTCAGTTAAATGACATCAGTCTACCAACAAGATGGTTCAAATTTCAGTCACCAAGTTTCCCTGGTATATTAACTGAGTACAGACTTCACTGCCAGTTCTTCAGTCCACAAATCAGTACATAAATAATAGATGCATATCATGGTCTATGACAATCACATCACTTAAAGTTTGTCAGTGATCACTACGCATCAATTATTCTTCATACACCAACAACAAAGCCTGAGATGTGTTATCTCCATGTCTCCCAGTGATAAACCAATGTGACACTTTACAAAAATAGATAATCAAAAGAGAGAATTGGCCAACAAAGATGAAAGTGCAGCAAAGAAATTAAAAGTGATAACACGAAATAAAATTTCGTGACTGTGGGAATGTTGACTGTGGGCTGACTGTGGGAATGTTGACACTGCCATTGCTCAAGAGACTCTAGGTATGCAGCCAGAGGAACTTAGTTAAGGCACACTTATTGACATAAATGAAGGAAGTGGTTGTGACAAAAAGGACGAAAATATCTCAGAGGATGTGAAGTCAGCAAAAAACTTCACTTTAAAGGAACTCTGGGAGATATTCCAAGACATCAGAAGGGCAAAGGACAAAATGTTGAAAGCAGACCTAGAGTTAGAAGGGAGTGTGACACATATAAGGCATAGGAAAGACGCTTGCTCCATACCGTAAGTTATATGATGAGAAGAAAAAGGCAAACAGTTCAAACTATCCTTGATAAGTTTTTTACAAAGAAAACACTTTCATTCTTTGCGTTTCTAGTGTATTAAAGTACAGTGTGCTAAATTATAAATACAAAGTTTTATTTTTCATTTCCCTGTACATTTGTAACCAGTGGAACTTCTAATGTTTTCACAAAGATTTTTAAAAGGCCATGGAGCAATCGTTACTTTTCTCATTGATTATTAAGAACACTTTGCACCAGTTTCAGCTTGCATGGTCATTTTTATGGTCTCCCACTGCTGTACAAAACAAGAATTATGATATTTTTGAAAACTGAACTTCTGCAAATTTAAGTAGGAAATACTAATTTTATGCATGTTTAATTTTTACAGTAACACCTAACCTGTTGTCTACTTATATCTAAGGGGGAAAATTAATTATATGCATCTTTCTTTTCCTAGACTTGTTAGTGCTTGGTAAGGTTAAATCTGTAAAGGGCATCTTGTTTTGCTTTTCTAAATAAGATTATGATTTTTTATTTTTCTGTTTAAGAAAAGTTAATTTAATGAAACCATTATACTGCCCTCTTCCCTATCCCCAGCAAAAAGAAAATAAAAAACCAAACTTCAAATAATGATAATTTGAGATTTATATTTCCCCTCTTCCACAGTTTGTTCCCAATGCGCTATAGCTGAGAGATGCAGATATTAAGTGACATGGCTGCAGCTATTAATATGCTACTTACTATTTGTTCACACTTGCCTAAGAGCTGTCTTTAAAGTATTCTAAGATAGGTAGAAATAACTAATATTTTGATGTGCATAAAGCAATGTTAATTAAAGGAAAAGTATCTTCATAGAAACTACTAGCTCTACCCTTACTTTAAGTAGTATTAAGATGATCCTATGTTGGTTTTAACTTTTCACTGATAAATGAATTTACCTATTCCCCACATGTACTAGCAATGAGGGTAAAGAGACATTAAAAAAATACTTCTCTAATATCTGTAATTTTAAATAATTGTTAAGTGAGGCATGTGATATTTCTTTTGTGCATAGATTATTGAAAAGAGCTATAAAAGTAGTAAAATCGTTCTACCTAAAAAAAGTAATTTCAGTGCTTTTGAAAGAGGGTTGTGATGTAATCTCTGAAATGGAGGATGAAATTAGGTTCTTAGCTAAAATATAAGATGAATTCAGTATGAAAGATTACTAGAAGGAAAAATAATTTAATAACATAAAATGCATTCAGGAAGCAAACAGAAATTATAGACTAGGGTGAACATCTGGAATGGACAGCAGATTTCAAAAAAGGATACTATTTGTCTAAAGCTATAATCTCAACTCCTTAGATCTTCATTCATAGTGAAAATTGATTTTTAAGCTATTTTATTTTTATTTCTAAGGTTTCATATGTAGAATAAATAACCTAATTTAGCTGGAAATAATCACTTTTATACCTTTAAAATTTCTAATGAAAATATTGTTAGCTTTCTTTATCTTCAACCTGTACTTTTCCAAGTAAGTGGGTAGGCATGACATTTCCACAGTTAATGATTATTTCTATCATAGTAGCTGTATACAAATTTTCCGTGGTATATAACTACTTTTGTGAGAACAAAAATAAATTACGGGTGTACAATTATGAGGTATTTTTTTCATCTTTGCTTTTTCAAAAAGACAAATTTTGGCTTAAACAATTCTACTGAAGTTGTGGTTCACATTATTTTTATAATGACTTTCTGAGGATTTTATGTAAATTACAAGGATGATTTAATTTTTAATAAATATTTATTTTTATAAAGAAGGAAATTCTGCTCAGTATTCATTGTTCAACAAAGAGAAATTATCCTATCCTAAAATACTTTTTTTCTACTCGATAGTTTTCATTTCCAGCTATTTGCATCATGCAAGTTCGATGAGGGGAAAAATCATCTTTATTATTTTCTGATTGACCTGTAGAAAAGAGTCATTTTGAAAGCCAGAAAATGATCACTTAAAAGAAATTCCACTATATATCCTATTTTAAAATTCTTTTCATTAGTTATTATTACTTGACATTAACAATTTTGTTGACAAAAATTAATATCAGAGTCTATGGTAGGCAGTGAATGAATTAACATTTTACTAAACATGTTAATGGAATCTTATTTGCTTTTTCGTTGCTTGTTTGTTTTTTGTTGTTGTTTTTTCCCCATTGTATCTATTATAGGAAAAAAGAAGCCAGAGATCACTTTTATGTTCCAGGATGAGATTGAAGATTTTTTAAGAAAACACATAAAAGATGCCCCTGAGGAGTTTATTTCTGAACTTGCTGAATACTTAGTAAAGCAAGTATAAAACAATTTTTTGTTTTATGATAGAAATTCAGTGGGTCATTAAGTGAAAATTTCACCAGGTCATAGAAAATATGTATGTTAGGTATTTTCTGTACAAAGCTTAGAATTTAATCTAGCCACGAAATTCCAGATTTTATTTGCCTACAGAGGCAGTGCAGTTCAACATACATTTATTTAGTGCTTTGGGGAAGGCAGTATGGGAAATAAAAGATGAGAGCCAGGAAGTATTCTTGTTCACTGATCATACAGTCTTAAGTCATAGTAGGGGAAAAAACACCAGCACTAATCACTGGCTGGTCTCTTCCATAGCCTGAAAGACAACATTCAGAAGGAAGAAAAGATTATCTTGTTTTGATTTGACCGAAAGTAAACAGTGTTTACTTGTAGAGAAAAAATAAAGTAACAAACTGACCTCAAGAAGTATAAATTTAGACACTGCTACCTTCTGAACGAGCCAACCTAAATTTATTTTTGTACAAAAATAAAGGAAATTGTGTATAACATGACCATTGCTATCTAACCTGACCATCCCTCAAGTTAATCCCAATATGTAAATTTCCGTAGATATAAGGGTACTTCAAAAAGTTTGTGAAAATAGAATGAAGTTGTACTAAAAATCTTTCCATGAACTCTTTGAAGTACCCTTGTACAATCCAGGAGCCCAGTGCATCTAACTTTGACTTAACAACTACTATAGCTTTTGAAGTAAGAATTTTTTCTTAATTTAAATAAATATTTTTGTGCGTAAACACATCATATATCCATATTTTTCACATGTAAAAAAATGAAATAGTTACTACTAATAATTTGCCATTACCTTTTTTTTTTTTGAATTGTGGTGGTTCTTGTTGTCGTTAGTGCAATAACTTTGAATACTTGAAAATTGAGAAAAATAATCCATATAAATTGTAATTCCTGGGTTTGAGAGACAGATTCCTAGTGGACATTATTTTCCAAATTAATTTTATTTGTTTAAAAAATAGAGATATTTTCTTCAGCTTTATTTCCATAGAAGCAATTTTTTTTTTTTACGTAAATTCAGTACATTTAAAAATTATATTTATCTTGTGTACAGGCCTCTTAATAAAACTTATCTTGAGGTGGTACGTTCAGTATTCATGTCTTCAACTTCTACTGCTTCTGGAACTGGCAGAAAACGCACCATTAAGGACTTGCAAGAAGAGGTTTCAAACCTATACAGTAATATTAGATTATTTGAAAAGGGGATGAAGTTTTTTGCAGGTATACTTAATAACTGTTTTTCATTGATTTTTATTATTTGGAGATGAAATTAGTTTTAATAAAGCGCCCTTATTTTCCAGATGATACACAGGCTGCTCTTAACAAGCATTTGCTGAAGACAGTGTGTACAGATATCACTAACCTCATTTTCAACTTCTTAGCTTCGGATTTAATGATGGCAGTAGATGATCCTGCAGCCATTACAAGTGAAGTATGTTAGTGATTTGCTTGCCACTTTTAATGTATTTTGTGTTAAGTCTGAGCACATTTTATTTTCTTTCAGTTGAAATAGTTTAAAAGGAAAGTAAAGAGTTTTTAGGAAAAAAATCTAAAAGATTTTTTTTTCTGCTGTAGTAATAAATATATGTATATATTTTTTGCTTGATCTTATATGTACTCATGTCAAAAGCACAATGCTGAAAGAATTTTTTTTTCCCTTGCAGGTAAGAAAAAAGATTTTAAGTAAATTGTCAGAAGATACCAAAGTAGCTCTCACAAAACTCCATAACTCTCTGAATGAAAAGGTAAGTAAAGTTTAATTTTATTTCAGTATCAGACCTAGAGATTTGTGTTATAAAGATCTTTGAGTAGATTTTTATCAGAATAATTTTAAACCCAATCTAAAACTAGTATTCTGCATTCAGATACCTCTTTGGGAGGTAAAGGGGGAGACCAAGCTGAGGAGCATTTTACCTTTTTTAATTCTAAATCACAATTTCTAATTTAAAGACAAAGTGAGCCTTTTAAAAATTGTATTAAGGGGGCCGAGCCCATGGCGCACTCGGGAGAGTGCAGCGCTGGGAACGCAGCAGCGCTCCCGCCGCAGGTTCGGATCCTGTATAGGGATGACCAGTGCACTCACAGCGCTCACTGGCTGAGCGCGGTGCGGCTGGTCTCAAAAAGGACAAAAAAATAAATAAAATTGTATTAAGGGTTTAAAAGTACAAAACAATATTAAGTGGCTATATTTCTTTAGGCACCTTTATATAAAAGTAAATTATGGTATTTAATACCTTTTCAGAGTGTAGAAGACTTTCTTTCTTGTCTGGATTGTGCAGCAGAAGCTTGTGATATTATGGTGAAAAGGGGAGACAAAAAAAGGGAAAGGTAACATTGAATGAATCTTTAATAATAATCTTTTTTTTTTTTTTCCTGACCGGTAAGGGGATCGCAATCCTCGGCATGGTGTGGTCTGCACCACGCTCAGCCAGTGAGCACACCAGCCATCCCTNTTCACTATATTGATTCTTCCAATCCAAGATTGTTGGATATCTTTCCATCTTCTTGTATCCTCTCTAATTTCTCTCAGGAGTGGTTTGTAGTTCTCATTTTAGAGATTTTTCACATCCTTGGAGAACTCAATTCCTAAGCATTTTATTTCTTTGGTGGCTATTGTAAGTGTGCAAGCTTTCTTGATTTCTCTCTCTGCATGTTCACTGTTGGAGAATAGAAATGCTACTGATTTTTGTGTGTTGATTTTGTATCCTGCTACTGTGCTGAACTCATTTATCACCTCCAAGAGTTTTTTTGTAGAGGCTTTAGGCTGTTCGATATATAGGATCATGTCATCTGCAAATATGGACAGTTTGACTTCATCTTTTCCAATCTGGATACCCTTAACTTCCTTCTCTTCTCTGATTGCTCTGGCTAGTACTTCCAACACTATGTTCAATAGGAGTGGTGAGAGTGGGCATCCTTCTCTACAGTAAATCAGAAAGAAAGGAACAAAAGACACCTAAGACATCCAAAGAATAATCAATAAAATGCTGGGAATAAATCAACACCTTTCAATAACAACTCTCGATGTAAAAGGCTTAAATTCCCCAATCAAAAGACACAGACTGGCTGACTGGATTAAGAAGGAGGACCCAACTTTATGCTGCCTTCAAGAGACCCACCTCAACCATAAAGACTCACATAGACTAAGAATGAAAGTGTGGAAAAAGATTTACCATGCAAACAGAAATGAAAAAAGAGCTAGAGTAGCTGTTCTCATATCTGATAAAATAGACTTTAAACTAAGAGCCATAAAAAGAGATAATGAGGACCACTACATAATGATAAAAGGATTGATCCATCAAGAAGACATACAATCATAAATATATACACACCCTATGTTGTAGCAGCCAGATTTATAAAACAAACTCTATTAGACCTAAAGAAGGAAATAGACACTAATACCATAATAGCAGGGGACCTGAACACCCCACTGTCAATATTGGACAGATAATCTAGGTAAAGAATCAGCAGAGAAACACAAGATCTAAACAACATTCTAGATCAATTGGACTTGGCAGATATCTACAGAACATACGATCCAACAACCTCAGAATATTCATTCTTCTCATCAGCACACAGATCATTCTCCAGGATAGATCACACGTTACGTCACAAATCAAGTCTCTACAAATTCAAAAAAATGGAATTATCCCATGTATTTTCTCAGACCACAATGGATTAAAATTAGAAATCATCACCTTAAAGAACTAGAAAAACAAGAACAATCCAAACCCAAAGTTATGAGACAGAAAGAAATCAGAGCAGAACTTAATGAAATTGAAACCCAAAAAACAATACAAAAGATCAACAAATCTAAAAGTTGGATTTTTGAAAAGATAAATAAAATTGACAAACCATTAGGAGGGGTAACTAAAAATAGAAGAGAGATCCAAATAACACAATTAAAAATGAAAAATGTGATATTACAACTGATACATCTGAAATACAAGGAATCATTCGAGACTACTATAAACAACTATACACCAACAAATTTGAAAATCTGGAGGAAATGGATAAATTTCTGGACACACACAAGCTCCCAAAACTGAGCCACGAAGACGTAGAAAATCTGAACAGACCAATAACAATCAAGGAGATTGAAGCTGTTATCAGAAGGCTCCCAACAAAGAAAAGCCCAGGACCAGATGGATTCACAGCAGAATTTTACCAAACATTCAAAGAGGAATTATCACCAATTCTTTACAAACTATTCCCAAAGACTGAAACAGAGACAAATCTCCCAAACTCATTCTATGAAGCAAACAGCACCCTGATACCAAAACCAGGTAAAGATACAACTAAAAAAGAAAACTACAGGCTGATATCCTTGATGAATATAGATGCAAAAATCCTCAATAAAATATTAGCAAACAGAATACAACAACACAT